TGTGTTTGCCAACAGCACTTCTTCTTTACACAATTTCAGGTTGCTGCAGGATATTCCCGCTGAATTCCGCCCACTACTGAAACTATTGTTGAATCGAGAACCATCAATGCGAGTCACGGCTCAGCAAGTGGTAGGCGGTACTTTTAATGTTCCATAACAAACACCTTGACAAACTCTTCTTTTTCAGTTGGACGGGTCAGTCTTTCATTTTCCAAAAGTGCTGGACTCTTTCTTCAGTTACTTGAATGCTTTCCGTCCAAAGGATCTTACGACATCACAGTCTTTAGAGGGCTTTGAGCAGTCACATTTGACTTTTCAACTTGAACCAGACGACGTCATAGCTAAGTGCGCTTTGCTACGATTCGCGTATCTATGCCCTTTATTGTTCACAGACACTTGGTTATAGACTTAAACGTGACGAAAGGTCTTTCTGGGAGCGGCTGACCGATTCTGAAGAAAATCGTCCCTACGCTATACTCTTTATATCACTTATCACGGCCAATATTCGTGTACTTCGAAGTGTACCTGCAAAAATCGTCAGAATGTACTTTCGTGCTCATCCTTCACTTCTTTAGTTACTGTTTTTAGGATGCTATGAATTTGCTCGTCAAACTAGCTTCACTTTGTAGTCCAGTCGTGGCAACCGAACGCGTGCTCCCGTATTTGGTAATACTACATTTTTATCCTATGCTCTAATTATATATATATCAGCGTTTAGGTTTCTTGTTTATCCGAGTTTGATGCACAAGTCCGTGCAGCTGCAGTTCATTCAATCACCGAAGTTGTTCTGCCGATTGAACCCACAACCTTCGAAGATTCTCTTGTATTTATCGACTATCTGCTACCGGAATTAGTAAGTATACTTGTTTTTAGACTTGCTTATAATATCTAGATATCATGATTCTTGTTCACCTATGCCTTTTGACTGAGGTTAGTCCAGGTTGAACCGCATTCTTTATAAAATTGTGGAAGCCATGCGCTTTTTAAAGGATTATTTTTGCCTCTCCAGGTTTTCTACGTTTTCTGGATCATTTTGCCAGTGACTAATGACATAG